GGGGACCATGTATGAGGATTGCCTCTGCATTTTCATGTGACCAGTTAGTTACATAGATAGCTTCACATACAGTTTCACTACAGATTAGGAGGATCTATTTGAGAAAAGTCAAATGAACTGAAATGATGCTGCGTGGGTAAGAGGCCAAGCAGGTACTGACAGCTACCTGAGTAGATTTAGGAACTTTCTTTGAGAAAGGATTTTAATGTCTGCTTTGAACTTTGTTATGCCTACAAGTTCTTCAAGAATGCGTTGTGTTTTAGTAGAGTTTGCCTTTGGATATTCTGCGGAAGTTTCTCAGTGCTGGATTTACTTATCAGGGTCTAACACCCCTGAAATCCCCTGAAGACTGACATTGCTGCTGTGGTCTGAGTTCTCATGGGGTTTTTTTCCAGAAAGCATGTAGCTTTGGTCAAAGGTCAGAGGTCTGCTAGGAAATGAGGTCTGCTGATTCATCTTCACAAAACATCAGTTTTGTTCCATCCATCACATTTAAATACCAAATCTAGGCATGTGTCATTTCTGGAAAAAAATTATTTTTGTATATTTATGATCGGTGTCTTTCATATAAAGTGGACACAATGGCACTTAGCAAACAGACTGACTTTTTCAACTCACATGAGGAAAAGTGGGAGATTTTTGCCTTTTCCCAAAATTATGTTTAATTAAATGACAGCTTGCTGGTTTTTAGGGATTATTTGTTGAAGATCTGCTTTGTGCAAGGCACCATGCTAGATGTGGAAATACAGGAATAAATAAATAAATCCTTGGCTTCCTGGAACTTACAGTCTAGTCAGAGGCAGACAAACAAATAAATCTCATGGAGTCTAGTCAAGACTGCTGTGGAGTAGCACAGAGCAGCTCCTGGGAGAAGAGGGGCAGCACATCAAGCCCTGCTTTCCCATCTATACTCCTATAACAACCTCACATGGTGTTGTCAAGGATCTTTACAGAACCCCTACTCAGCCATATTCCTTCAAATGCTTTCCCAAGACTGCAGCCCATTTCAGCCTCTTCTACATTGGCCCCCCATCCCAGCTGCAGCCTACCTATTGACTTCAAATCTTGTCATCTTTGCTTGCAGCTCTGTGGTTCTTAGCAAATTACTATCCTTCTGCAGCTCAGTTTCTTAAACTGGTATAATCATTATAATCTTTCTTGTAATGTTATATTAGGATTAAGTGATTTAATATGAAACTCTTAGAAAACTGCCTGACAGGTAGGATGAGCTATAGAAGTGATGGCTGTTACTGTTGTCCTTGTTATTTTCTGTTACCCAGGCTGATGTTATCTTCTGTACTTACATATCATCACGTGTGAAGCACTATGATATATATTGTCACTACAACAATTTTTGGATTGCCTCTCACTATTCAATATCTTTATTATCGACACAGTGCATCATTCCAGACTTTTTTCCCTTATTAGAATCTAAAGTCTGAGTTTAGGGATTTCACCACAGATTCTTTTTTGTTTGGTTTTTATGCTTCCCCACTGAATCTAATTTTAGCACATTGCAGACAATTGAGCATTTGTTTATCAATAGAGGGGGAAATCCTTTTCTTCTCCAAATCTCTCTTTGTGAAGCCTTCTCAGTTCTCCACTGTGCTGTTAGGCATGTTAACATTTTTTGCATATTTCTCTTATAGCTCTTGTCCAGTTCCATTGCATTGCTTTATTTTATTTATTTATTTATTTTTGTCTTTTATTATTCATATGTGCATACAAGGCTTGGGTCATTTCTCGCCCCTGCCCCCACCCCCTCCCTTACCACCCACTCCCCCCTCCCTTTCCCCCCCACCCCCTCAATACCCAGCAGAAACTATTTTGCCCTTATTTCTAATTTTGTTGTAGAGAGAGTATAAGCAATAATAGAAGGAACAAGGTTTTTGCTGGTTGAGATAAGAATAGCTATACAGGGCATTGACTCACATTGATTTCCTGTGCGTGTGTGTTACCTTCTAGGTTAATTCTTTTTCATCTAACCTTTTCTCTAGTTCCTGGTCCCCTTTTCCTATTGGCCTCAGTTGCTTTTAAGGTATCTGCTTTAGTTTCTCTGCGTTAAGGGCAACAAATGCGAGCTAGTTTTTTAGGTGTCTTACCTATCCTCACCCCTCCCTTGTGTGTTCTCGCTTTTATCATGTGCTCAAGTCCAATCCCCTTGTTGTGTTTGCCCTTGATCTAATGTCCACATATGAGGGAGAACATAGGATTTTTGGTCTTTTGGGCCAGGCTAACCTCACTTAGAATGATGTGCTTTATTTTAATGTCCACTGCCCCACTCTTTGTTTCTGTAAAGATCAGAGTTGCTTTCATTGTATCTCTGGCCATTAGCACAGAGAATGCATGCAATGGGCATTCATGTTTCAAAGAATACTAAATAAGAATAATGCAGTGAAATAATGCCTGCGTATTTGGAGGGAATTGATGAGAAAATTTTGAGTTTTTCAAAGTGTCTATTTCTTTTGCCTCACTAAATGTCTAAGAAAGACCTAGAGACCCTAATTAAACAAGATTTAGGCACCCCACTTAAGTAGGAAATCCTAAATAACTTTAAAAGTTCTTTTAATGTGGTGGGAAAGCATCTCACACCTTTGTTTTCACTTTATGTCTCCTACCTTCATATTTTCTAGGATAAGACTTCCCTACAGTTTCTAAGAAAATATCAAGATATCTAAATTTGTATAGAGATAAAATCGATGGCAGACTTTGACATTGTTGAATTAAACTACTTTTGAGGAGAAAAATCGAACTGAATAAGATTTCATAGCTCTGAAAAATTTTCAAGAGAAATTTCCTACTAAAATTATTCTGGCTGGATGTGTTACAGTAGTGAGCATTCTAAATTTTATCTTTGCTGGATATGACTATACATGAGAAATGACTGCATCTGTAGTTATAGTCTTGATTCAGTTCCATGCTCTCTTATGAAAAGTAAATACAAGTCTTCTCTTTAACAATGAAGGTGTAATTTAAAAACATCAGCGTGTGTCTTCTGCTCCAAGAAGATGAGCTTAAGCCAATGGTTATAATTTAAATGCTTGTTCACCACCAACTCCTCCCATTGTTTTCCTTACAAATACCTATGTCCTCTTGGTTCTGTTCATCTATTCTGTCTATACATTGACTACCTTGTCCTCTTTGATCTTCTGTCTTTCCTGCCTTCACATTTCCTAGGCCATGTTTTTTTTTCCTGTACATGCATATGATAACGCTTAATTATAAAAGTAGGCAGAGAGATTAACTAGCAACAAAATAAAACAGTTATATTGTTAGGTGTTTTTATCCTTAAAAATATGCTAGACCTAAGCCCTGGTGGGTTTTAGACTCCCTACATTCTTGCCCTCCTCTTTTTCTACCATTTTTTTTTTTTTTGCAGTGAGGTAGACCTGCTGCTTTACTCTACTGTCCACTCACTCCTTTTATAGTTTTTTTTTTTTCCTTTGCTTTTTTGCTGGGGATCAAACCCAGGGCCTCATGCATGCTGGGCAAACACTCTACTACTGAGCTACATCCCAGCTCCTTTTTTAGTTTTTATAATCACGTGAGAGTAGGTACCTTGAGAGCAGAAGTCATGTTTGTTTAATTTCTGAATGTCTAGTACCTAGCCTAGAGATTGGCATATGGTCAGTGCTTGGTATGTTTTATTTGAAGGAATGAGTTCATAAAAGTCTACACCCACCATCTACTCTGCCTCATCCACCCATTCCTCCTTTTATTATATCTTTACTTTGGCTTTCCAGATATGCCATACTGTCATACCCAGTGTTTATTTCCTCTTGTTATGTGTTGTTAACTAATTCATTATTCCTCTGCCACTTTCCTTCCTTGGAGCCTTTCCCTGTATTGGCCTGTCTCCTGGACATTTGGTCTGCTCTAGTCTCTCTTTCCTTTCTCCAACACTGCCTAGTAGTATTTGTACTAGCATTTCTCCACTCAGAGCCATGCCAAAGGCTTTCTCCATGAAGTTCTTTCTGATCTCTCTCTTGCCAATCACCCCAGATTTTCTGCTTCTTTAAACAACTAGAGAACTTTGCAAGCAATTTGTAGAGCCTACCAAACATGGGTCATTTATGCTGCTGTCTTTACTTTTCCCCCACACATCTCAAGTTCCCTGAGATGCGTATTCTTCCTTATTGCATAACATGATTATCACTCAAAGTTGGTGTTAGTGAATATTTTGTTGAATAGCCTGCAAGCTAGCATTCCAGAAAGCTTCCAAGGAAATGCTGTCTCATTAAAAACAAACAAACAAACAAAAAACCACTAAGGATTGCTCTTTTGCTCTTTTGTCTTGTAACTCTCAAAAGTTATGTCATTGCACTTAGAGGTGGTAAGGTGTATCCACTTAAACTTAAAATGTCAAAGGTCAAAAGAATGGGGAATGAAAAAGTGGTAAAAAGTTAGCACTGGAAAGTTTCTAGAGATCCATGTAGCTCAACCCTTTAGTTTTATAGATAAATATATAAACTGATGCCTAGAAAGCATAAGTGGCCACTCCATATCAGACAACCAGTTTGTGACACCATTTGGGCTCAGAATATAGTCAGCCAACCCTCTTCAGTGCTCACCCACATAAGCTGACACAGTGCAGATAAGGATGCTATATTTTGTCTATGTTTGTGTAGGTAATTGCTAATAGAGGCCTACAATGTTCTCAGATTGCCTTTAATGGATTAACATGTAGGAAATTGAGTCTCTAAATAAATATTAATTTTTTCTGGCTAATTTATATTATCTCAGGAGTTTCTCATTATGTTAGATGGTCTAGAATTGTTTGTTGACACTTAAGTGAAATTTTTATTGAAGTATATACAAAATAGTATATAAACCACAAGTGTAGAATGGGAAGTTTTCAAAAAGTGAACATATCCCTGTGGCTAATAGCTAGATCAGTAAGCAGAGCAGCAGCAGATAGTTTAGAAACATTTAAAGAAATGAAACATTTGGAGAAATGGGGGATTTTGAAACGATCTAATTTTCTTTATTTCCTTTTATAGGTTTTGTCAGTTTGTGTGTTAACAACAATCCTTGGGTGTATATTTGGGTTGAAGCCAAGCTGTGCCAAAGAAGGTAATTGGTGTTGCCTCTGTGTGTATGTTCAGCCTTATTCACAATGTACTCTAGAGATATTGCAAATTTGATGCTGCTTTGAGCCTTCTTAAAGCTCTTGTATTTATTTTAGCCATATAAAATTTTGTTTACTTAACAAAACTTAAAACATGGAAGAGGGCCTATGACCAAAAACCAACCCCAAAACAATCATAATAATAAAAAAAGTCAGTTAAGAACAAAGAAGCATGAAGACATGGCCAGCAGGTTCCTATGTGGTTCCCCTAGTGACCTTTCTCCCTGACTCCCCAGGGACTCTTGGACACTCCCTCCTCCCTCAGGAGTTGGCTGCTGAAGCAGCCTTAGAGGTTACTAGGTGACCAGTTGTCATCCCTGGGCAACCAGAAATTGATCACGGCCTGCTCTTAGGTTTTTAAAATTGCAGACTTGGGTAAGTTTCAAAGTAATAGTGAAATTGAAAAGCTAATAAGAAGCTTTTTTTTTTTTTTTTTTTTTATTAAGAGCATAAATCTTCCCATTGTTGACAAGAATACTATAAATAAACTGAATCACAGTAAATTATAGTGGTCATTTTTGGCTTTGATTTTTTTTCCCCCTCTATGTAAATGGTTTTCCTTGGGATTCAGTTTTTAAAATTAAACAGCTTTTCTCTCCATTTCAAACATTCTGTTATTGTAAAAGTATCCATTTGAAAATGTTTAGTGATTGTTAAGCTATCATGTATTATTGAAATGAATAAAAAAAGAGTTATTTATGTAGTAAAGAGACTATTCAGAGTGACTATATCTAAGTTTAAAAGTAAAAAGACTTCAGTGTTTACCATATGAAATAATTCACCATGAGTTCAGTTTGACCCATCAAAATAAAGGATTGAAAGTAACCATTTTAATATGAGCCTAACATTTTAAAAATTACTAGATGCATACTAATGAGCTCTGAATAACAGCTATTATTCTAACAGTCTCCACCTTGAGATAGAAAAGTAGTATTTCTGACTCTAGAAAATTGTTATTAGCACTTTTTGTCCCTAAAATTGCTCGATTTCCAAGTGCCAAATGAGAGTTAAATTCTCTGCAATGTCTGGTTGGTTCAGGGAACTGTTGAAGTAAAAAACTAAGATAACTAAAATAATTCCTTTTTTTCATTGACCATGTTTTTGTGTGTATTTTTTCCTTTTTCTCCCTATCCTACTTTTTCTGTAAATCCTCTAAAAACTCAGCTTATTCAAAGGGTCTAGGAAATAGTTGCAACAGTGAAATTGTTGTTTCACTAAAGTGTTTTCTTTTCATATTTACCACTTAACCATTTAGCAAAAACTTATTAGTACCAACTCCACATCAAGTACTTTCCTAGGTACTAAGGATACAGTATACTGGGCAAAACCTAGATGGGACCTTTTGTGGGAAGTTTGGAGTTTAGTATGAGTCTGGAGTGTTAACCAAATAACCTAGTTGGAAAGGACAAGATTTTATAAAAACCTGAAAAAGGAAGTCAGATCTAGTCTGGGACTTTGGAAAAGCTTCACAGGGAAAGCCAGGCTGGGACAAAGGTGAAATGGGTATTCGGGGTCATGTGGCAGGTATAGGTGTTGGGAGCCCGTGTTCTATACGCCTTCCTTGCACCGAGACGCAGAGTGAGGTAAGCTAGGCAGTCTTGCCCTTTTTGAAATATTCCTAAATAACCACTTTTAGATTTTTTCTCCACATTTTTACATTTTTGGGAAACCCATGCCACTTATTAGCCAACTTTTTGTAGTATAAATAAAATATTCAGAACCAGCCCTTATTCTGATTTTTCTTTTAATCATAGATATTTACATCTTATCAAATCCAGTAGGGTCTGTAATAATTTTTTTTTCTGTTGTAACTGGGGTTTGAACTCAGGGCCTTGTACTTGCTAGGCAGGTGCTCTGCTGCTTGAGCTACTCCCCCAGCCCCTGTATAATTTTTAAAGTTGTCTTTTGTCTATTGCTGGAGATGAAATTGCAAAGTTTTATACATAAGTTTGACTTCTGTTTGTGTCCTTTTCTGTGTGTATTTGTGAAAAGACTAGTCACGGTGACCCGTCTGTGTTGCCTGATCAATATTTGAACCTGTTCTGTATCACACTTAGGTGTATTCATTGGTGCTTCCTTTGTAATTACATGATGATTGGAAACATCTACCTTGTTTGCACTTTTCAGTAAAAAGTTGTAAAGGCCGCTGTTTTGAGAGAACGTTTGGGAACTGTCGCTGTGATGCTGCTTGTGTTGACCTTGGAAACTGCTGTCTAGATTTCCAGGAGACATGTATAGAACCAGGTAAAAATGTGCAGGAAAGAGATGGCGCTGTGGGTATTAGGAGAAGATCAAAGGGAAGCTCTGTGGCTTTTAGGCATGTGATTTACCTAAGTCATTTGAGTCCTTTTTAACGGAGCATGTTATATTTTGACATTAACCTTTATATTTCAACACTTTCTTAAAGAAAAACTTTCACATTATTTGCCTTTCTTAATCATTTTATGGATAACAAAACTACCTATTTTTAAATGAATGAATGAAAGCCTTTGCAGTCTAATTTGTATTCAAACTAAATCCTAAAATCTGCTTGAAAAGTGAATACTTTCATTATGAGCCTAGTAAATAAAGAGTTCTTATATATTCATAATACTTTAATATAAAGCCATCAGAACAGGAAAACTTTTTCACTTTGCTTTGGATTTGATATGGAATTATCTTGAAATGGGAAAAAGTCAGACATAGATTTTTTTTTAAAAAGTGTTTTTTTTTTTTTTTAGACAGGGCCTTGATATGTATGTAGTTTAGACTGGCCTTGAATTCATGATCTTCCTGCCTCAGCCTCCCAAGTGCTAGGATGACATACATTTGCCACCATTTAAAGCCTGACTTTAAATTTTGAGAACCATGAAAATGACTGGTAGAAGAAACCAAGGTTTTCATGTGAGTTACATGTGCTCAAATTTTAATATGATAAAGTTCTGAGTATTTCATAAAATAATAACAATTGGTACCAAATGATTTATATGTTAGCTCAGAGTGACCACAGTGGTGACAGGTTCTGTGAATGACTATAAGTTATGAAATAATTTTTTCTCTCATGGCTCCTATTTTAGATGAATATAATTCTGTGCTCACTTTGGACATGGTCAATTTGAACTGTGAACCGTATTTTATTATTTGTTTCTAGGACATATATGGACTTGCAACAAATTCAGATGTGGTGAGAAAAGGTTGGCCAGAAACCTCTGCTCCTGTTCAGATGACTGCAAGGATCATGGTGACTGCTGTGTCAACTACACCTCTGTGTGTAAAGGTCAGGCTTCCAGGGCTCATCCTGTTCCCTAGAAGCCTTCTAGTGGCATCAAGGATTTTGCATGAATGTTTCTTTTTATATTAACCATTGTATTTATTGACCACCTTTGCTGAAAAATACTTTAAAATATTTTTATTAGAGAATGTTTTAAACATATACATGAGTAGAGATAGTGTGTAATATAACAAACTTTATATCCATCATCCAGCTTAATAATAATTATTGTCTTTAACTAGTAAATCTTGTTTTTAACTGTAGCCATTCACTCTCCTGGCTCCCACCTCCCTATGTTAGTTTTATAATAGCTACATACTTAATGCTGTGTTTGTGAAGGACCATTTTTTTAAGTCCTGGCTGACATTTTTATCCCAGGTTTCCTTGTAGAAAATGAGGGCAATGTCTGCCATGTGTTGAGAGAGTTAATGTGAAGTTACTTTGAGATTGTTTTTGTCGGCTGATGCTATTGTAATGTCTTATTTAGGAGTTATTTGGTTCCTTGAAATTCATTGGCAGAACCTGATTTATATGAAAGAGAAATAAGGACATCAAAATACCAAAGATTTTATAAGGTGGTTAGAAGGAGGATTATAAATTCTGGCTGAAAATATTAAGATTTTGAAAATGAAAAAGGTATCCAAGTACTCACAAAGACAGTACAGTCTTCCCTCTGTGTCCATTGATTCTAGAATCTCTGGACACCAAAATCCAGGAATGCTCAAGTCATTTACATAAAATGCCATAATATTTGCATATAACCCTTGTGCATCAAATGATCTGTGATTGCTTTTAATACTTATATAAAGTAAATGCTTTGCAAATAGTTGTGATACTGTATTTTCAAAATAATGGAAAGAAAAAACTACATGTTCAATACAACTGCAGTTTTAAAAAATCTTCAGTTGGTTGAATTCAATGATACAAAACAAACAGATACAGAGGGCTGAATGTGGTATATTTTAATGTGGTGATTGTACATTCATTTTGTCTTTCTGGTATTAGCAAATTCTTATTATGAAACATAACTCCATATATTCTTAACCTTTCTCTAATGACATGCCCCATGTTGTCCATATGTCTATTAACATGTTTTGAGAATCTATATTAATGTATGTCACAAGCAATACAATTGTAATCTTACTAAGTGTGTTCACCTTATTTTATTTCTTGAAAATATTTTAGGTGAGAGAAGTTGGGTGGAAGAACCCTGTCAGAATATTGATAAGCCCCAGTGTCCAGAAGGGTAAGATTATATTCTGAGACGTACAATTGTTTTCTTTTTTAGAAGGACCACTTTTTTCTCTTTATAAATTAAGAAGATAGAAATAATAATCAACCATTGTTTCTTTAAAGGTTATTTTTAGGCAGTTCTTGGATTTTCTCATTAAACAGTGATCATTATTTTTTAATTGAATGTTAAATCATTCAGTGGAAAATAACTTTTTTTTTTTGTAAGATCACAATTTAGAACATATTTTGTTATTCTGGAAATTATTTAACCAGGTACTGGTAAAATAAACTGGCGGCCCAATAAACTCCTTTTATGTTTTGTATTGATTAAATAGAAATTGTTTCATACAGATATGGGCCAGTAAAATTACATACAACAAACTCTGCAGTCTCCCCAGGGTGCTGTGTTATAGATACCAGTTAGTGGAAATTGTATAATAATGTTCTCCTTTTTGTGGGTTGCTTTTTGGGTGAGAAAATAGGATTGGAAAATGTAGGGTTAAGGGAGGTAAGAGAAAAACCAGTATTTGCTGTCAAATTTTCAATTACCAGGTAGACTGTGGAAAGTTTTCACACAGTTATGCAGTGATGTACAACTCCTCTACCATCTACCAAGTATCACCAGAAAAAGCAAAATTTTTGAACCATGGCTGCTTTGGGTTAGACATGCAGCAATCATTCCTCACACTTCTGTTTTGTTGAAACAATCATTATGTGTGTTTTTTTGCCTCCTTCTTTAGATTGTGACACCATTGTTTACTCATTCCTAACATTAAATTATTTCTTTGTTTAAATATTTGAATTTAATACATATCTCTTGATTTCTGTTTTAGATGTTTATATCTTTTAAATAAATTAAGCTTTTTAAAAAACTAAACATGGGACTGGGAATGTAGTATAGTGAGAAGGCGCTTGTCAGGAACTTGAGACTTTGGTTACCAGCACCACAAAACAAAACAAAACCAAAATATACTATATAATTTATACTGACTGAGGTGCCATTTATTAGAGATAATATCAGAAAGTGGTTGTTCAGGAAAAAACTTAAGGGAAACAACATGATAAATTTGTACAATGCTAGTTATGAACATTTATTTTCCTATAAATTATGGACATCCTATTATATATTTGGCCTATCTTTTGGACTTGTAGGAACTATGAATGATGTTCTCTGCATTCAAAGTAGTATGACTGTTTAATACTATTTGATGATAGATACATGTGCATAATGCAATTATAAAACATGCATGTGAATATAAATGCATATAAAATATCCTTTATGAGTGTGCTTGTTGACTTGTCGGTTTATTTAAGATCACTTACCACCCACTCTCAGTGAAAAATCCTCACTGGAATTATGCCAGGGTGGGAAAGCATAGAACATCTTCATTGGATGTATCTTCCATTTGCCTCTTTAAGTGTTTTTTTTTTTTTCCTCATTACCAGGTTTGACTCACCTCCTACCCTCTTATTTTCTTTGGATGGATTCAGGGCAGAATATTTACACACCTGGGGTGGACTTCTTCCTGTTATTAGCAAACTAAGTGAGTAACTTCAGGTTTGATTTCTGGGGCATCATGACTTCAGTGAGATAGGGTAGGGAGGTAGTGTTCATTGTAAAAGTACTGTCAAAACCTGACTGCTCTACCAAACTTCTCCATTCCAGAGTACTTGAACCTAATATAAGGCTCATATCCTTTTATAGTGTGATTAATTTTAAACTTCCCTGTAAATACTTCAAAGATAACAGTTGTCTTGGGATTTTAACCCTTGACCATTTTTATAAATAATTTTTCTTTTGTAGAATTTTGCATTCTTTTTGGGGGGAACTACCTTATTTATTTTATGAATACCACTTTAATACCAAAAGCTGAAAGTTTCTAACACTGTTATTCTGTGTTGTCATTTATATCGAATAAGCACTCTTTAAATCTTAATCAGAAACCTTAAATGAGTGATTAGTGCACAAGTAACTGATGAAATAGTCGGATGGCCTCTTCTTCATATTGATGTTACAATTTTAAATCACATTAATAGTCTGCAATATGGGTGTCAGTTGTACCATCATTACTGAAAGTGAGAATATCATCCATGGATAAAAAAACCAAAACTGTAGAATTCTGCTTGTTGTCAGTGCTCAGTGTTCAAGTAGCTAAAGTGTACTACTGGACTGAAGCAGAAGTAAGTAAATACAATTGTTTTAATGTTCTTCTGGAGTTCTACAATATTATTTCATTGTTTTAAACATGAAAGTCATCAGTAAATGCATACGGATGGCATCAGGCTTGTCTTAATTTTTTAATTTTCAGTTTTAAATTCTACCTAGAGGAAAATAGTTTTTATTAAATAAGTAATTTGGTATAGGAATAGCTTTGTCTGTTCTTACCAGCAGAACCACTGGCTTCGAAAGTTTTATTCAGCCCTTTGTTACCATGCTGGGGTATTGTTTGTCTCCATGGCCACAAGCATGGCATCTTGAGTTCAAAATTAAGAGGCTGTTGGTATCCATCTATATATGAAGTTTAAAAGAAGTCAGTGTAGGATTGGATAATTGGGGAATGCAGCCTGTGACTCTGAACTGTTAGTAATAAGGCAATGAGACACATAGATGCATGCTGATAACAGTTTCAGGCAGTGCAGTACTGCCTGGAATCATTAGTCATGAGTTTCTTCCTCGATAGTAGAAGTGGCAGAAGAAGAGTGAGACACCAGGGCTAAACAATAGAGTTTAAATAATTAGGAGCAATCTGACTTCCCTGCTTTCTCGGATTTGAAGCCCCATGCCTTTTTTCTTTAAAGCAGCTAGCTCATGTAGGGGTGACATGTGTGGGATACAGGGTGGCGGATACTGTTAACCCAGCTACTTCTTCCCTCTTGTTTTAATTTGCAGATTTAGCTGCTAAAATAGTTTTGTTTACTACCTCTTATAATTCAGATATTTGACCACTAAGTAGTATCAAAGATCCTGTAAACATCACATTATTGCAACTTGTCTATCTTGAATTTAATGTTATTGAGTGTAGGATAACTACTTTAATTGACTTAATTATTGTGTTTGCTGCTTTTCTGAGTAAGAGGAAAAATAACTTTTATGTTTAACATTGAATTTGTATATACATGTTACTTTATAATTTATTTTGAATATTTGTCTGGCTAAATGAACACCTCCTGGGATAATTACTTTATATGATTTAGATTGTCATGTACCCAAGCTAAATGAGATAAGCAGATTATCAAATGTGTATAATAATGATATTTATTTTCTCCCCTTGTAGAAAACTGTGGGACATATACTAAACACATGAGACCAGTATATCCGACAAAAACCTTTCCCAACCACTACAGCATCGTCACAGTAAGCTCTGCATTTCAACTTTTACATAGCCACAGAAGTGAGATGTGATCAAAACATTTGTCATGGAAATAATTCAATTTCAGATCAGAAGAAAAGTTACTTGTTTTACCATGTGTGATAAAACAATATTTTATCTTTTTAGGGGCTTTATCCAGAATCCCATGGCATAATTGACAATAAAATGTATGATCCCAAAATGAATGCTTCCTTTTCACTTAAAAGTAAAGAGAAATTTAATCCTGAGTGGTACAAAGGACAACCAGTAAGTTGTATGTTTGTTTTAGCTATTAAATATTTATAAATATTTACAAATACTTATTTATTATTCTCATTTATTTCTGAGTGAAATAACCAACTTGCCTGGAGCTTTCAATGACCTAGTTCACTTACTGTGTGTGTGGCCATTCCTTCATAAGCAAAGATCTACCCTGATAATCCTATATGGAACTTGTATGCTTGCATAAATTGCGAGTAATTTATTTCAAAGACAGATTTGGGTTGTGCCTGAGTCATTTTTCTGCTCGATTTTTTCTTATAGTAGCAGCATATAGCAGTAGTCTTAGGTTTTTAAAATTATTATTTTATCATATTTATGGGACACACTGCTAATTTGACACGTGTATATAACATGTGATCAAATCAGGGAAATTATTTTTTTCATCTCTTTAAACATTAAAATAAATTTGATTGCACAAGCTAATAATGAGATGGAAGCGCTGATTTGGGCATCTTTCATTTACGTATATTGAATATCATACAGTAGCTTGTAAGTCTATACAGTTATTATTGGGGAATAGTTTTTTTTTTTTTTTGGTGGCACTGAGGTTTGAACTCAGGGCCTCACGCTTGCTAGGCAGGTACACTTACCACTTGAGCCACTCTGCCAGCCCTAGGGAATAGTTTTTGATCTTCACAAAGAAACTTTGTTTTTGAGAGGTAAGCCTTGTCTTCATTTGTGTGTGTATTTATTTAGAAGGACTCTTAATATGTACTTTTTTCCTTTTTGTAAATTGCCACAATAATTACATAGGGTCTATTTGGATAATCCTTGTGTTATTTTTAGAAGGAAAAAGAGCAAAATGTTTAATTCACAAGTTATGAATTCAAATTTTAGCTCTGATATTTCAAGCTTTGTTACTGTGGGTAAATCACTCTGTCTCCTAGATAATAATTAATTACCTTATAGGGTTATTGTGAGAAGTATATAAGTTAACATGATGTAGGATGCTTGTGGGAATATTATTCAGACCGGATAAACAGTAATAAGTGCTTAATGAATGTTAGTTAGATAAGGAAAAATATCAATAAAAAGTAAAGATAGGAGTACTTGTGAATTTTTCTTCTTTCAGGAGAAACCTATCAAGTAGTGTCCATCCTTTTTAGTTTAATAGTCTCTAATTATTTACATTTCTGTTTGCTCCTGCTTGTCCTGGTTCATGATTATCATCATCTAATTGCTGGAGCAATTCTAACTCTTAGCAGCATTCTAACCCTTGAGAGGAAGGCACTGGTGTGGCGGGGACACCCCCTTTCCTAACTTCTCTTTGTTGTCTTCTCCAGATCTGGCTCACAGCTAAATATCAAAGCCTCAAATCTGGCACATATTTTTGGCCAGGATCAGATGTGGAAATTAATGGAATTTTCCCAGACATCTACAAAGTATATAATGGGTAAGTGCAGATGGACTTTTTCTAGGACTTGCAGTGTGAGACAGTTGTGTTTTTATTATCCTTTGCTTCTTATTGACTCCTGAGTTCTAGCAGTTGAATTACATACATGTTAACTGAGAAATAAAGACTAAAAATAAGAACTCTATCTCAAAGAGCTTTTTTGATGGCTCCTAAATAGGCAGTATATCAAGTGTTTTCTATAAACTCTGATAAAATGTTCACATCTTTGAGCAGTGATAAAAAATGAGGTCCTGGTGAAAATAGAGATCTAAGAGTAGAGGCACTGCACATTTTAACTCTTGGAAGGAAAAGATGAATGAATGCATAGGTAGAAATGACTTTGTTGTGTGAATGTTACTTAAAAGAAGCTATTATATATAGTACATATGGATTTCCAGTTCCAAATTAATTTAACAAACTCGCTTCCTAATGTAAGAAACTGATTATAGTAACTACCCTGTGACATTCAAAATCCATGATGTATTGAGAAAAGATAAAACCTTTTGGAATTTGTACTGCAAAATTAATACAGTATTACTTGTGAGGGGGTGCAAACAGAAAAGATCATAAATCCCAGAGAAGAAAGGCATGTTGATTTCTTTAGTAATGTTATGCTATGTGTTCTGTATGGTTCACTCAAGCACACTGTGGTGCCTCTCCAGCACCTTATTATTTGCCACTGTTTTCATCCTGTAGATGAAACTGAGAAGGTAAATGAGACTTGACATGCCATGCAGTGTACTAGTATGGGAGACACGTAGATTAGTGATGTATGATGTCTCACTTTTTGGGGTCTAATGGAGAGCACAACTAACTTTATTTGGAGGTGGACAAGCATTCTGATGCGAGCAGTGTGAACAGAGCCCTGTGCCAGAGAAAAGCATAGTTCTGCTAAAGAAATGTTGCCTGGAGAGCTGTTATTTGTTCATTCAGTGCCCAGTTGTACTGAGTCATTAGTGAGTAAGCTCTTCCCTAGGTACCTTTTGTAAAGTGTATTAACATGCAGGTTATTTGTGTGGAAGGCAGTGACTGTTCTCAAGTCCATGAATAATATCTTCAAGTGGAAGACAGGAAACAACTTTTTTTTTTATTCATATGTGCATACAATGTTTGGGTCATTTCTCCCCCCTTCCCCCACCCCCTCTCTTACCTCCCCCGCCCTCTCCCTCTCCCCCCCCAACTCCCTCGCTGCCCTGCAGAAACTATTTTGCCCTTATCTCTAATTTTGTTGAAGAGAGAGTATAAGCAATAATAGGAAGGAAGAAGAAGGGTTTTTGCTGGTTGAGAGAAGGATAGCTATATAGGAAACAAAATTTTTAAATGCAATTACAACTTTTATTTATATAAAAGTTATATTTTGTTCCTTCATTAGAAAAGCAGAGTTAACTTTTCAAATAAAAACCTCTCATACAACTTCAAACATAAAACCATATACCTTGACTTCTTTTAGTATCCCTTAATGTATAAGTGATACTATAAGAAAAAATATGCTTTAAATCCACGCAATTATTATAGATTTGGTTTATTTTATTTATCCTTAATTGTAGTTCAGTACCATTTGAAGAGAGAATTTTGGCTGTTCTGAGGTGGTTACAGCTTCCTAAAGATGAAAGGTATGTAGAGAAGTAATTTCTGTCATCAATACTTCCTTGTTTAGAGAAATTGCATACTTCTTAAAAACTAGATTACAAAAAACTTTGCTAACTAAGATGTCTTATATCGAAATAAACTCTTTAATGAACTAGTATAGCCACATTTTGAGGAATTCCAAGCCTATAAATTATTTCTCAGCAAGTTTAGAAATGTTACCCCAGTGTTGTAGAATTTTTAATCATGATTAATTATTGAATTATTCCTTCCATTCTGTTTTTCAATGTGTTCGTAAAATATTACATTTTGATACTGTTTGATTTAGACCACACTTTTACACTCTGTATTTAGAAGAACCAGATTCTTCAGGTCATTCATATGGACCGGTCAGCAGTGAAGTAAGTACATTTTTATCAGTGATTACTTCATTAAATCTAGCACCATTTAACTGAACTTTGCTGTAAAGCAGGCTTCTAGATCATTCTTTAAGAGGCTATGATTTCTGGAAAGAGTGAATATTATGCACACTTATACTAAAATGGAGAATAAACTTTAAAGAAAATAAGCATTGGGAGAATTTATTTTGCTTATATTTTCTATAGTCCTAGGTTGAACTGATGAATTAAATTGTATATTTTTAATTTCAGATTTTCTATTAACTTCATATCCTCCTTTGACCTAAAAACCAAGTACTTTATGAGAATTTTATAAGCAATTAAGATTCTAAGTTCATATGAAAATATAGGGTAAGGAGTCAATGAGAAGAAGCAGCCTCCTCCAGCTCTCCTATTTAGGAAACGTATCTCTAGCTGCCTGAGACCATGCTTATAACAGAGCTGGAACTTTGAAGGTGGGAGGCTATCAAAGTATAAAAATATGCACCTAAGAATTCTTTATTGAGTGGTTGCTAGGAAACTAGAGATAGGAAATTGGCTTATGGACCAAATCATAATGTAGCATCTCACTTACCTGGGACCCTTCAGGAACTTGGACAGTTCCTGGCTATGTTTATTGTATGTATACTTCTTTAAAACAGAATTACTGTTTTCAGAGTTTATACAGCCATGTCATTTTTATATCTTGGAAGCAATAGAACAGAAAATGGTTTGAGCTTCTTTCCCTGTACTTCTAAGTTGACTCTCCTGATAGTTATTTAATCCGTGACTTAAGGTATAAAAAGTAAGAATCTGGGAATACTGTTGGCCATGGTAAAAGGGAAAAGAGTTATTGCTAGGATCCCTGGTCTATTTATATTTTGTTTCCTGTGATTCTAAGGCTTAAGAGATGACAGGTTTATATCCTTCCTTAATAAGTAGGGCTTCACCCCCTAATTCTTATCAATTCCCCTGCCCAGGTGGCTCAGGCTGGATAGTTTGTGAGTCTCAGTGTCTCTTTATCACAGGGTCCAGATTAAAGCCTCACCTGACATATCCATTGTGAGTCCTGTGTTGAGTAGCCCTGTTTGTGCTACTTTATTTCACTCTTACTTCTGCAGAAGCAGAAGAAGGAAAAGACAAAAGTGCATGCTCATTTTTTTCTTACTTGAATTTAAAATAGCTGCTTAGGCCATCTTTGCTGGTCTCTCTGCCCCTCTAAGAGAGTAGACGCTGCTTGAATTGCGTTCACTTCATTTAAGAGTGAAGGTAGAGGGGAGCTGACCTCACCAAGTCTGTTTCTGTCACTTGTATTCCTACAACAAGATCCATCTCCCACCGACCCACTGCAGTTACTAACTCCGTTGTGTCCTGCTCTAATCCTGTCCTTCAGCTAGGCAGAAGTGCTTCGTCCTGAAAGTAGGTTAAGGAAGATGTGTGCCCCACAACTTGGCCCTCACACAGTTGGTCCACGGAAAACATTTCTCGTAGCTGTTACCTTGATTTGAACACTCAACCAGGCACCTACTATGACTTTTATTCTTCTGCTACAGTCACTGATAACCAAGACTTGTGTCTAGGTCACTCTGGCTACAAAAACAAACAAACAAAAAAACTCTAAGGGTCATTATCAAGTCATATAAGCTTTAAAATTGGTGCTGCCCTTTTCTGATTCGCTAGGGGTTTTCCAGAGTACTGCTTTTCTAGTGTGTCTTAATTCAAAGTTGAGCCCACACCTTTCAAATCAACTTGAAAGTTCTGTTAACCTCTGATGTTATTGACACCTCAAAACCCACTTTATCTTAATACTTAAAAATTTCAATTCATGTTGCTTAGATATCTTTTTTGATGTTGATATTGAAAGAGTTTGTCTCATTTGACTAACTGAAAATCTGATTTGATAAATTACAGAAAACATATGCGAAACTACACGAGAACTTTCCTTGAGTAGTTTTACAAGGAGAGAGGACAGGAAAAATGACAGAAGGCAGTTTGCCACAGCAGTTTACCATTCTGTGCCCTTGAAATATTCATGTGCAAAATGCATGCAGTTTGTAAGGAAAGAAGGGGCTCCATCCTAAGAGTTCTAAGTTAAAAAATTAAGTACATAGAACTGTAAGAAGCATTCACAAATAATTTGATACTTTTGAAAACTAGGTTACACTGTACTTACACAGTGACTATTTTCAAATGATCAGAAAATTCAAGAACAAATTGCTTGTAAAAAATAAAGTGGTGATTTAAATGCATTGGTTTCTATGGATTTGAACTAGTATTATTTTGACTTAAAGTGGGTGTCTAAATAGTAGCACCTGAATCTCAGGAAGAAAAAGCTAATCAGATCAGCTAATATCACTTCCCAAATTTATGGTTGACAAATACAGAATTTTGTACTTTCCACTGTTAATGATTCACACTTGTTTACTGCTTTTCATGTTTTTGATCTTGATCTGTGTTGGCCTAAGGTAAACTACTCTGTCATAGTTGCATTCACTGGATTTTTTTCTTTTTCTTTCCTTATTTTAAAAAATAGAGAGCTTTTGTAGAGAAATAGCCATTAGTATGGAATGCCTTTTGTGAGATTGCTTCCCGTTCTTAGGTCATCACAGCCTTGCAGAGGGTGGACAGCATGGTGGGGATGCTCATGGAAGGCCTGAAAGAGCTGGACTTGGATAAGTGCCTGAACCTCATCCTTCTTTCAGATCATGGTAATTTGAATTTTCATCATTCACTCCTTAGGCTCAGTGGTAGCACAAAAGTTTACTTGACTGATTTTTGTTTTATGATTTTTCCCTCAGTGTTATAGATAATACTTTTTAAAATGGTTCTTTATGAAAATTTTTAGGAAAAAAATATATAAAGTACAAATGAAACAATTTACAGAAACCTATGAACCCAACCTACTAGCAATAATGTACACATTTTCTGATTTGAGAAAAGCCTAAATACATCAGGATTTGAATAGTTAAAAATATTTTCCAATATTAAATTTTGGTAACTCTACAATTTTATATGAATTGGGACAGATTATTTTGTACTTTTCAAGTTGCTTTAGTATATAATACATCTAAAAGGCATATATTAATTTTGATAATGTTTTCATTTCTCATAATGCAGTCTTTGTGATAAGTTTGTTAATAGTTTGGGGACTAAAGAGGTGGTGTTCATAAAAGGAAGAAGAAAGTAGGCTCTTTTAGTTTTCTTTTTTTGCTGTTGTTTTTTGGGGGTGCACACCACTGGGATTTGAACTCAGGGCCTCATGCTTGCTAGGCGGGTGCTCTACTGCTTGAGCCATTCCACCAGCCATTTTCTGTGTTGGGTATTTTTGATATAGAATCTCTCGAACTATTTGCTTGGGGCTGGCTTCAAACCAAGATCCTTCTGATCTCTGTCTCTTGAGTAGCTAGGATTACAGGCGTGTCCATCTTGTTTTGTTTTTAATGTTTTGCTTCAGAGGTAATTACAGAGAGCTGACTTTAGAGAGTCTGAAGATGTTACTTTACATGCTAAAGAAGCTCCAATCCTGTAGCGAGACAGAGGCATATATATCCTGTTAAAATACTAAGTAATTTTAGGCAAATAACTGCCTAAAACTATAAAGACATTCTTTACTCACATGACGATATTGTAATACATAAATAAGAAACACTAAGGTAATTTGGGCAAAAGAAAGGGAAAGTATTTTGAAAAAGTGAAGCAGTAGGTATAACTGAACCCTGTGACTTGAATTAACTCAGGTGTGCAATCAAATATGAATGTTGAGCTTCTATGTAGTTAATTAAATTCTGGAAGTAAAAGAAATTCCGCATTCAACTCCTAGGCATGGAACAAGGCAGCTGTAAGAAGTATGTGTACTTGAATAAATACTTGGGGGATGTTAAAAACATTAAAATTATTTATGGACCTGCTGCTCGGCTAAGGCCCTCTGATGTCCCAGACAAATACTATTCATGTAAGTATATCTCTGTGATAACTTAGGATATGGTTCTATGAAGAATGTATTCCCCTAAATTACTGTATGTCTAAACTAGGGAATCAGTGTCATGATTAAATTTCCAGTGTGGATATTTGCTACATAGATGAATTTTGTTGTTGTTTTGAGACAGGGTTTTGCTATTTATAGGCCAGGCTGGTCTTGAACTCATGATCCTCCTGACTCAGCCTCCCAAGTGCTGGAATTATAGGCATGTGCTCCTATACCTAGATTACTTAAATGAATTTTATGGAACTAAGTGTAAGGACAAAGTCCAACTAGTTATCTGTGGATGAAGTGTATTAATTTGATAATGTGGTTTTGTTGTAGTGTGTATTTTACTTGTATTAATTCCAGATTTTACTAGAAAGAAAAATTCATCTGCAGTTATTCAACTTTAGATAACTGCCATTCCATTAAAATAACTTAGATCATTTTAGAGTAGTATTTTGTTATGAGGAGGAATGCTAGCAATAATTACTAATTCTATAAGCAATTGGTTCCTGTACTCAGAAATGACTTCCTTAAACCATTTCAAAAAGCAGTAAGAATGTATCTTTTACACAGGAAAGGAGAAGAAATTTCATTCTTTCTTGACTATATGTGGAACACAAAATGCCAAGAAATATTTAAGATTTTTATTCTTTTGCAAATAAAGCCTATTCTGCAGCTGTTTCTAACCTCTGCTACTACTTTTCTAAATTACCATCCTTAATGACTTTAAGATGTATAGGGAAATTTTTATCTTTTTAATATAATTAGTTTTTAAATGGAAAGAGAAATAAGCTTTTTAAGTTATCAGAATTGGTTTGGCTAAGTCTCTGCAATAAAATAAACTTCAGTAGATATTAATATCTGAATATTAATGAAGGAAAATAGATTCTACTGCAGGAAAATGGTTAAACAGGTATATTAATACAGTGACATAGAGCACAGGCTCCTTATGCACAGTGACAGGTTGTAATTAGTTTTGTGTTTTTTTTAACTTAGAAAAGCTGCACAGACATCCTTCCTTATCTGAGGGTTTCCTATCTATGGATTCAGCCAATGGATCAAAACATTGGGGGAAAATTGTATTTACACTAAGTGTGTACAGGTTTTTTTCTTGTCACTATTCTCTAGCAACACAGTATGATAACTATTTACATAGTATTTGCATTAAATTGGGCATCTAGAGATGATTTAAGCTATGCCAGAGATGAATATTTATATGCAAATACTGTAGCATTTTATATAAGCAGTGTGGCATCTGAGTGTTTTGGTATCCGTGGGAGGTCCTAGAACCATTCCTCTCTGGATACTGAGGGGTGACTGTATGTGCTTATTCCAAAACTTTTTATAAAAAAACATACAGACAATGACATTCCTTAGGGATGTCTGAGGTGGGGTGGCTTTTATTCTAGTAAGGCCCCCAAACTTCATATATTAAAATGAAAACTGCATATCAATTTGTCTATTAAATATATTATACACTCAATATATTTTTTATCTAGATAATTTTCTCAAACTTATGTAATATACAGCTAAAAAGAGCTCAATTTAGAAAGTTAGATAGTGACATGCAGCACAAAGTATACTAGTAAATCAACAAGCTTATTATTTAAATTCAGTTTTAAATCTAATTTGCTTTGTCTTTCCTCTAGAAATTCTAGAATTATTGAATATTGAAATATACAAAGTAAAAAAATAGCAGTTTGCCTCCCTAAGTCCCTCTGAGTCCCTCTGCTTCACAACTCAATTCCCCTCTAGAGATAGAGAAAACCCCTGTTAAGTTTGGGTTGTGTCTTCCTGAGTATGTGCTGTATGTATATAAAATGTGTATTTTTACTTCTACATGGTGAAATCATACTTCATTTAGATGGATATGTAGATAGATATTTGGATGAGTGGACAGATAGATGGATGCATGGATAAATGGATTGTCGGGCAGATGAATATAGTCAGCTGCATAGACAGGCATATAGATAAGTAAACAGATGGATGGGCACATAGATAGATGTTCTGTAAGTTACCTTTTCACTTAACAATATGACACTATTTCTTGGTGTGAAAGGGCAGTTCCTAAGGATCTGTCTTGTTCCTTTCAATGGCGAATATGCAATGTCTTTAATGACTTGTTTGAATCTGCTTTGGTATTTAAACATAGGATTTAAGTTTGATGTTCTACATTATTATATTATTTTTTAATTGTGGCATATCATCAGTTGTTAATTCTTATGTTTGTCCCTTTCAGTTGATTATGAAGGCATTGCCAGAAATCTTTCTGTGAGTATCCTTATTCTTCCATTATTTAGTTATTGTTAGTTTTATGTAATATGTATTTAGAGAAAAGGTTCAGTGTCTCTTCTTGGGATTATACTATTAGAATTTTTGATTATATGGGCCAACATGTAAGTGCTCCATAGCTTTTAAATGTGTTTGAGGATATGTTCCACTAATTTAGGTTTGAAAGTTTTACAAAATTTATTTATTAGTATCATAAAATTTATATGCTAGTATCAGAAGTAATTGAAAAAAAACATATATAAAGCTGTATCTTTAAAGCACTGTTAGCATTATAGTATTCCATTTCTTTCTAGTCCTCTTTTTATTAATTATTTCTAATAGTGGCACCAGGAACCAAACATGGTCTGTCACCTGCTAAGTAGTGCTCTATCAAGGACTTGCACCCCAAGCCCCAGTCTTTTTGTTTGTTTGTTTTTCTTTTTGTTTTTTTCTTTAATGCCTATTTTAAAAAATAAGCTTTTGTCTCATTATGAGTTATATATGCTAGCTACTTTTGTACTTGATCCATTTTAAGTCTTTTTTTTTTCATTTAAGTCTTGAAGAAAGTTCTTAACGATTGCATTAAACATGATATTTGAAAATCAGACCATCAGTTGTAATTCCAATATAATCTAGAGACACAGTCTTAAGAGTTATGGGGCTTTTATGTAGGAATAATTATGATAGCCAAATAAAAGTTTTAGGTGGCTTATAATATTTACTTTGTAAATTATGTAAGTAATAAGAATTATTATTTTTCTATCTGTGGATATTATTTTCCTATGTACTGGACAGGCTGGTAAAATGTTGGCAAGAAAAAAATTCATATAAAGTTAGAAAGGATTTTCAAGAGAAGTTTGCACATTAGATAATGAGAAAATGATGGTTGTTTGTTGTCTTTTGCAATTTCAGTGCCGTGAACCAAACCAGCACTTCAAACCTTACCTGAAACATTTCTTACCCAAGCGTTTGCACTTTGCTAAAAGTGACAGGATTGAGCCATTGACGTTCTATTTGGACTCTAAGTGGCAACTGGCCTTGTAAGTTCTGCAATCTCATAGCAAACTTGGCCTGATCTATTAGTAAGTCATGGTAACCATTGGGCCCTTTCAAACAATGTAGTTATGTGAAAACAGTATCAATATGATTATCTTCACTCTTGACCCAGGATTTCTCAATCTTGGCCCATAAGCCTTTTGAGTCAGATAATCTGTTGTGGAGAGCTGTCTGGTGCATTATGGGGTATGACAGGATCCCTGACTTGTACCTACTAGATGAAAGTGGCACCCTTTCTCCAATTGCCACAGCCCAGAATTTTTCCAGACATTGGCAAAAGTCCTCTAGTGAGAGGGGTCACTCCTGCTTGAGAACTGATTATCTCTTTTGATTTATATTTATGTGTGGTCACTTGCCATGCATCTCTTCTACACATTGCAGTTATGTCTAATAATACTTCAAAGTCTAGCAGCTGGTGAAAGCACTTTATAATAATGAGCAACTGTGGTTTTTTGTTTTCTATTTTTCCTTTTGGAGGTACTGGTGTTTGAACTCAGAGCTTTGTGGTTACTAGGCAGGTGCTCTGCCAATTGAACCATGCCTCCAGTCCCTATCTTTATTATGCATTGTTTTTCTTATATGAATCCATCAATAAACATCAGTTTATTGGTACATTCAACAAATTATTTGGGTGATTGATGTAAAACTTGATCATTAACTCTTTTGATAATTGCTAAGAAATCAGTCATGATAAGTATCCCTGTCAATAAAAACCTGCACAGTGAACCAGGGTTCAGTCAATACAACTATACCTTCTCCACTCTTGTTAGAGAACTGTGCATTTAGCATCTAATGGAAGAATATGAAAGGAGGGATGGTTATTACTGTCATGGGAAAATAATTAGTGAATATGTAAATACTGTGTCCTAAGCATTTCTTTAGGCTGTCTTTAAATTGTTTAAAGCATGGTCAGGATTCAAAACCACTTCTGTTGTGATGCTTATGGTTGGTCACCTCTGCTTTTTATTTCATGAACAAACCAATTCTAAGTAATACAAAGGAGAAAAAAAGAGATGTTTCAAAGCCAAGTGGTTTTATTTACTTTTTATTGATGTAACAGAATAGTCACTTGTTCTTTATCAATGTGAGTAATAGTCTGGTTATCAATCATGTTCCATGAATTGGCTTCGTATTATTAATTCATAAATGTCAAAATTAGGAATCCATCAGAAAGGAAAAACTGTGGATATGGATTTCATGGCTCTGACAATGTGTTTTCAAGTATGCAAGTAAGTAAACCTTTTATACTTTATAAAACACAATTAATCTGAAGAAAACTTGATATATAAAGTTTGAAAGTTAAAAACAGACTGATTATATGTCTTAAATGAGAATTTATGGAACATATTTTCATGAGCTATTTTCTTTTGACATTGAAGAATTGTGTTAATATTTTATATTAACTTATTGCATACCTCCTTATGAAATATCTAGTAGTCATTTTGCATGTATTTGTGCTCTATGAAATAAATTATCTCAGAAAAACCAGTGGTTTAATAGATGAGAAGCTGTCATACTTAAGTTCTGGAAGGAGATAATACCTTATATTTACGTAGCACTTTAAAATGTTCAAGATATACTTGTATTATCCAGTTTGCTCCTGGGTGAGGAGGGCAGGGTAAGGTTTGTATACCATTTCATAGGTGAAAAATATTTTCATCTCCATTCTCTTCTGACCAAGTCAAGGATTGTAGTAAAATGTCTTTAGGTTATATGTGCGATGAGCAATGAGAGTTAAAACTATATCCCATAAAGTCCACTGTGCATGATATTTTCCCCGTTATCTTAGCTTAACCAGTTTATGTAAGTACAATGTTGATAATATAAATTTTTGAACAGTTATATCCACAATTGAACTGTACTGATGAATCTATTGCTTTTCTGGCCAACCCAGGCCCTGTTTGTTGGCTATGGACCTGGATTCAAACATGGCATTGAGGTTGATTCCTTTGAAAATATTGAAGTCTATAACTTAATGTGTGGTAAGTATGAACAGAAAACAGAGCTGGAATGGGATTATTAAAAATAGATCACAGAGGGTCACCTCTGTGTGATGATGGTAAGAAAAGACACTTCTTTTTCCTGACCCAGAGATACTAAGATACAAAATGTACCATCTTTATACTAGTCTGATTTGTCTACTAGGCTACATACTGGTACAGTCTAACGCTTACAATGAGTTGGTCTGTGCATTGCTAGGTCCTCAGCTTAATTCTAAGACTTGAGTCAGAGCTATAAATGGAAGCCAGAAAAGAGTTTGGGAATAGTGAAAGTTGGGCAAACCAGTCAGAACCTCTGGCAGTAATAATAGTGAATGGATGTCAATGTCAAGGTTGTAGAAATGAAGGATCTATTAGGTAAATTCTTTGTTTAGTCTGTTTCTTCTGAATTAGTACTTTTATGGTAGGGTACTGAGTTTTAAGTATTATTTCCTTTTCCTGATAGTGATATTGGGCATTTTCAAAATCTTAAGTATGTCAAGTATAATTCTGTCAGTGGGAGCCCATAAACTTTAAATGAGCTAATATATCCCAAAGCACTTAAAATCGTGCCTGACATATAGTAAATATTTTATATATATTTGCTATTATTATTATTAAAAGCCTGATCCTTAGTCATAGAGCTGGATTTAGAATCCTTGGCCTACTATTATGTTTAGTAGCCTTGAGGCCGTGTGCAAAACATTTGCCTATCAAATACTGATGATAACTTCTTAAGTTGTTTTGAGGATTAAGTGAGGATTAAGTGTTTCTATCAAGAACATTGTCACAGTCTGAAAACCAAGAGAGTCTTACAGTTTTATTTTAGTTAAAAGTAAAGAACTCATTTAGGTTTTTAAAAAGTAAAAGTAATAATACAAGTCTACTATTTATCTGGTTTTGAAACTTCTAAGTAACTATTATTCTTGGAATTACGCAGATTTACTGAGTTTGACTCCAGCTCCTAATAATGGAACTCATGGAAGTCTCAACCACCTTTTAAAGAATCCTGTTTATACCCCAAAGCATCCAGAAGAATTACACCCCTTGGTTCAGTGCCCTGTCATAGTAACCTCCAAAGATAACCTCGGCTGCTCATGTGATCCCTCTGTAAGTATCTCCGAAAAGTTTACCCAACATGTGTGGTATATGTACATAACATGTGCTGTAGAAACACTTGAATGAAATAAAAATTTGAGTGGAAGGTAAGTGTGTATATTTATTTTTAATTCTAAGAGCACAGGAAAGACTTTTATTATTCATTTATCCTCCTTCTACTTTTTACATTTTCAGCTGTTTTTATCCCTAGGTGCTGTGTTGTGTTGAGGGCAGGTGGAAAGAATTCTAGAGGAGTCTTGAGTGTCCTGAATGATTAAGTCTGTGTTATTATCCTAGCAATGAGGTCTCATCACAGGGTAAACTCATAACAGTATTCATTCTAGAAAGAAAGATAATAAATATTAATGAAATACAGCACATCTGTGTAGGAATAAGACACAAGGAAACAGTGCTAAAAACTGTTAAACAACACAGGATGGGGGAAAGGGGTGGTGGTATAATCCCACTGACCAATGAACAGACACCTAAACAATGAAGGACAAGAATGAAAAACAGGTCACACCAATGGGAGGGCAGTAATTGGGAGGGGGCATAAAAGAAGGAAGTAAGAAGGTGAATTTATAGTTGATGTACTTTCTATATAAGAATGAATATAGAATTTTTAAGCTTGTTAAAGTCACCATAAGAAGAGGAATAAGGTAGAAAGGAGAAAAATAAGAGGAGATGAACCAATTTGAGATACGGTACATATATACATGGAAATGTCATGATAAAAACTGTCTGTATAGATATCTTAAGCACACAAAACTGTCTTTTTTTTTCCCCAAAAGTGGAGGACAGAAAGGCAGATAAAGGTCCTATCTAGGGGTTGGTACCAGTGGTAGGGAAGAAGATATAAGGAAAAGGTGTTGGATTAATTAAGCAATAGAAGCTATGTTACAAAATTAAACCTGTCTCTTAACCTTAAAATTAATTTCACAAATTTTTTTAGATTTTACCAATTGTGGATTTTCAGACGCAGTTTAATCTGACCATTGCAGAAGGTAAGATATGTTACTCTGAGAGCTGGAATATAGAAGCAGGCCTTTCTTAGGAGTATGAGCTACAGAGAATTAATTTGGGACATTATTTAGGAATAGACAATAAAATAAAGGGAATAATGGAGGACCACTTGCTGGAACATAGAGATTTCTTTGCCTGATGGTCTAGACTATTAGTCATGAGGTAAGAAGGATTACTTTATGGTAGAAATGGTATGTCACACTTAGTGGAAGTTGAGTCAATATTTAGGAAGATTTTTTTGAAGGTTTTTATGTATTTATATAATAAAGCCTTAGATTTAAATTTAAAATATCTACTAAGTTTCTATCTCATCTGGTTCTTAGTTATAAGAGGTTATAAGTTAACTTATCTAAAGTTATTTCTTTATAACTTTTGAATGAAAGTTTAGAACATGTAGACAACTGATGAGTTTTCAATTGTGACTTGGATATTCAGAGTCACTTTGATATATTTTCTGAGTTTTTAAGTTACTTAGCTCACTTTTTTTTTCCTGGTGGAATAGAGAAGGAAGTTCTATATTAATCCTGACTTGAAGTTTTCTATAAAAAAAAATCTGTCCTATCAATGTTGGGATTAGATATATATATTTTTTTATCTCCAAGATCACAAAGTATTGTGGTGAAGGATGACACTTTCAGAATTGGGTAGATCTGAGTTTGATTATGAACTTAAACTACATGTCCATGGAGAAAGTATTTTTTCCCTATATGCTGTTTCCTCATCTGTGAAAAAAGTATGTAATGTTAATTCATAGTGACATATAAGAATTAGCTCAACAATGTAAAACAATTCTACAAAGCACTTGACACTTGGATAAGAATCAATGTCTATATTGTTACTGTTTCATTCAGTTTGGTCTCATAATTTCAGTTCAGAACCTTCCAAGTTTCCACATAAAATTTCTGTAGTGTGTCCTGAAGAATAAGTGATTAAAAGAATGTTAAGTAATTTTGGGTAATATAAGTTCTAATGAGCTAGAATTTCTAGCAATTTCACATAGTGCCCTATGTTATACCTTACTAGCACGCTGATCTTTAAGTATAAAGGCAAAATTTCAGCAAGCCACATTTGTTTATGGTTCTGCTTCTTGTTATTAGTTGTTGTTATAGCTAAAAATAAATTTTCAATATGGCTAAGTATAGGAGGTGGTTACATGAGTGTATCATTATGTATCATACAATGCACACAGCTGCATTTAAACAGTGGTTTCATTTTCCCTGTATGACCCAAGAGAAGAATATTGATCATGACACCTTACCCTTTGGGAGACCCAGAATTCTGCAGGAGAAGCACAGTGTTTGTCTTCTTTACCAGCATTGGTTTGTGAGTGGATACAGCCAGGACATCTTCATGCCTCTTTGGACTTCCTACACTGTTCATAGAAATGCAAGTATTTGCTACCTCTTTCACTGTGTGTGTCAATTCCAAGTTATCACTAAGCAAAACTTCAGAAGTATAATTTCTCTTTGTTAATCTTGCCTTCATGATCCGTTTCCAAAGTAGGAAAACACTGAACAGGAGTCAGAAAAATAACGTTTCAGTTTTAGGTGTGCCAGTAACCAGCTTTGTGACTTTGAAGCTCAGAGCAAACTTCTGTGAAATGATAAGTATGCAGAAAAGATTCTCCTTTCCCCACCTAGTTTTAATATTTTATGATTCTGATTTATAATTTTATGCAAGTTATTTTACAATGAGTCACAATTATTCACTTCTAAAACACAGCTATGTGAGGATAAGTAGTTCCTTCAACTGCCCAAATCTAGGGGTCCTCACTAGTGAGGGAGCTATGACAGCTCAGTTCCATCACCACATAGGCCACCTGCAGGAGTAGTACCACAGCCCAGACCAAAAGACACTCATGTCCTTTCCCTGCTCCATCAACACCAGGGGAATTAGGCCTGACCTGACAGGAGTGAATAAGACCACAATTCCTCCTCACTCCATGCCTGTGGGGCTATGGTGAACAGGATGGTGAACGAGAATCCTGGAAAGACAGAAGATGGAGTATATCTGATAGGGGCATGAACTTTTGAACTAGACTTATCCGACTTTCAGAAACTGAGAGTGACTGGCAAGCTCTCAGGTGCCCTAATGGATAGAAAAGGGATTTGAGAAAGAGCTTCACTGTGGGTATCAGTTGGGGTTAATAAATATCATTACTGTTAATATATGCTTACTGATAATGCTAAATTAAAATATAGGGACGTGTGTGTGTGTGTGATCTCTGTGTTAAATATATTTTATAGAATATTCACATTGATACAAAGTTACTTCGACCACCTTTTTTTGTACTTGACTTTGTAATATGTAGCATTCTTCATGCTTTGTAGGTACCCTGTCTTACTTATTGTTGATACTACCTTATTTATGGTGGTCATTGGTTCTGCTTGGATTTTGTTTTCTTACATAATTAAAATAGAGTGTCATCACTACCCCTGAGGGTTTTGCATTACTCTTCATTGGCTCTCCTACCTTCTCACAACAATTTTAGCTATCTAATTAGATGTGGAAGATAGACTCCAATCTGTGAAAACCAGCATTTTACTATATACAATGCTTAAAACTGTAGATAAAACATCATGAACAAAATTAGCACAGCAAACTAGGAAGATGCTTGCACATAAGTGACAAAATCCTTAATGAGGTAAAGAACCTTTACCTATCAGTTAGAAAAAAAGATGAGCATTGGACTGGAGGTATGGCTCAAGCTGTAGAGTGCCTGCTTTGCAAGAGCAAATCCCTGAGTTCAAACCCTAGTACCATCAAAAAGAAAAAAAAAGATGGAATATGCCAGTAGGAAGTTGGAAAAAAAAATGGTGAAGGATTTGACCAGACAGCTGGTACTCCATCATTGTATAATGCAGTTTGTGTTGAGCTATTCACAAGTAATTTCCTTCTCTTCCCTGTGTGATGCCGGATGGATCTTTTCCTCTTATTTTCCAGGACAGTTTCTCTATGGATAATTTTTCCAACTGTCTCTACCAGGACCTTCGAATCTCTCTTAGTCCTGTCCATAAATGTTCCTTCTATAAAAATAATGCTAAAGTGAGTTATGGGTTCCTTGCACCACCACGTAAGTATGTTCCCCCTCTCTTTCTTCCCTGCCCTCTCTATCCCTTCTCCTCTTTCTTTGCTTCCTTTTTATCTTCTTTCTTCCTTTTTGTCTATCATACAAGGCTGGAGGTATGGCTTCAGTGGTAGAGAGCTTGCCTAGCATATGTGAGGCCCTGGTTCCACCCCAAGCACCAATAAATAACTAAATTATATTCATGGAAAAATCTTATGGGGCAATGCGCATAGTCTTGTTTATTTACTAGTGAAGATTACACACCAGAAATATAACTGTTGGGGGAAAATTAAAAGTATCTAAAACTTGGGTTTTATAAAACTTCATAGTTTAGGAGGGTGATTGATCTAGGTTAGATAACGTAGGTTAAAATAATTCACTTTTCTGTTCTGCATTGCTTTGAATCTAAATTTGAGAAAACTCAGTGATGCTGGAAGGGTACATCATGGTTCTTAGGAAGGAGACAGAACTTTGATATTTCAAATGAAAATGTGACTAGTCAGAGAATGAGGCAAAGGTGGAGACTTCAGAATGCTCAATTGTTCACCTTCACAGAGCCTCCAAGGAGTGGCATTTGAAGGAAGGTGCTTGTATTTTTTGAAGTGACAAATTTGTATGTTAATGAAAAGACATTTTAGAGCCAGCCTTAAATGGCAGAAATCAGAACACTCCAGGTACACAAATAGCCCCAGCATCCAGAGCAGTGCCTACACCAGAACTTGGCTGTTGTGCTATAAAAAAGAGACCAGATCCAAACCTCAAGTTCATACAAAGAAGCTTTGTGCAGCACGCTGAGGCCAACTCCCATGGTATTTTTGCTGGGTAGTAGGTGGTAGTAGCCAGAACTCCAGAAGCCTTTTTCTTTTACTGTGAAAAAGTTCAAGGAAAGAAGATTGAAGCACAATGCATTTTAGTTGAAATAAAGTAAATGTAAATTTGCATATGTTTAAAGTGGACCCTATTTAAGTTTTTGTTTCTTTGATAAATTCATCTTGAAGAAGGAAAGTTCTTAAATATTTTATTTAAGAGACTTTACTAAATGTATGACATCTTCCCTTCAGTCAGAGCTGGGAGTTTTCCAAGTTTTAGATGCTGCTCAACTAACTTTTAAAAATGCTCCCCCCACCACCATGAGAAACTGTAATTTCAAATGTTATTTTTCAAGTATGAAAAAGTTGTCTTTCTTAAAACAAATTGTCCTTTTCTTTTATAGAACTGAGTAAAGATTCAAGTCAAATATATTCTGAAGCTTTGCTTACTACTAATATAGTGCCAATGTACCAGAGTTTTCAAGGTAAATATTTTAACTTTATATTTTATAATTTTAGTATGTAATAGGTATGGTTTATAAATACTTGGATTCATGGTCTAAATTAAATACATTCTCTTGTTTCACAAATATTAAAGTTTTGTTTAACTTTGAGATGCCTAGAACACAAAAAAAAATCTACAAATGTTAGAATTGTGATATGTTCCATTGTCTGTTCTGTTTCATATTTAAAAGTTGATGAACTTTTTGGCTCTTTTTAAAGTTATCTAGCTGCTACAATCAACTAATACTTATATTAACTTTCAGTATGTTCTCATATGTAGCTATTTGGAAGTTCTTATTAATTCCTTTTGGTTTTAAAGTGAATAGATTTTTAGGTCATCATTAGCTATGGCAGCATTTAACTTCTGTAGGAATAAATATACATTTGTACTTAAACTGATGTGTGAATATCAAAATGTAAAAAGCATGTAAAGAAATTTTTACTTTAATTTACATCTGTCACACTTGTGACTATTTCAAAGAGAAAATTGAGATATTAGTATAGCTGAATAATTTACCTTATTTGTGTTTGTGGTGTTGCAGTGTTTGCTGATGATACATGATCATTAATGTGTTGTGATGTTCATAATTAGGGGTCCTGAAATAACAGTTGAACTCTCCTTAGTCCATTCAAAGGCCACAGCTGAACAATGGGATTTGGACCTCATGCTAAGACTGAAGCCAAACTTGACCTTATCTCTAATTGTTAAAAATGCTACTTTTGAGTCATGATGTTAATTGATTTCACATGGTAGCATGGTGCGTTTTTTTTCCATTGAAAGTATACTGTCTTCCTTCTTGTTTCAGTTATATGGCGCTACTTTCATGACACCCTACTGCGAAGGTATGCCGAACAGAGGAATGGCGTCAATGTTGTCAGCGGTCCTGTGTTTGACTTTGATTATGATGGGCATTATGATTCCTCAGAGACTATGAAGCAGTAAGAACTATTTCATTACTCTTAAAAATAGCTGTCCAAGGAAAATTACCATTTCATGGAGTCAGCAAAGTCTTTTCTATCCAGTCCAATTCACATATAAGACCTTTCTGACTACACTGGAATCCTCTTGAAATAGCTGATTAATTTTGATGTTTGCTCAGTATTGTTTTTTTGGCAAGAATAGTGTTTCTCCTCTCTTCAATTCAGTTGAGTAATTACTGAGCTCAACTTAAATGCTGACTGACTTCAGTGTTTAAGACCTCTGTGGCTGAATGTGAAGATACTATCTTAATAAACTTCCAGGCAGGAGAGGAGAACTATGTGGCGACCAAAGTCCTGAGTGAAGGAAAGAGCAGGACTCTAAGACAGCAATACCTCAAGTTAGTGGCCTTGAATTAATGCCATAGCATTTAGCTAGCACTGGCTAGAGAGTAGTGATGAAACACTACTAAAATGAGAGAGGGAGAACATTTTAGAAACTGGTTGAAGGGGAGGTGGCCCAAACAATGTATACACATGTGAGTAAATGTAAAATTGATAAAAGAAAAAGAAAGAAACTGGTTGGTTCTTTTTTTTTTTCCCCCCACCTGCTGAGGATGGAACCCAGGGCCTTACATATGCTAGGTGAATGCTATACAACTGAGCTACATACCCTGGTTATTACTAAAACTGATCACAAGATTTTTGGAAATAATTTTGCTATTAAAACTACTAGACAAAGACTAATAACTCCCACTAAGGTTTTGCTCCTCTCAGAGGATTTGTCTCTTAAGGGCTTACTTAGGAGTGACTGCTTACACATATATCTTGGAACATATTAGTTTGCAAAATTATAATTTTTTATTATATGCCTTGAGGTGTAAATAGTGGTAGAGTGGGTAAAGAAGAGACCTTTATATGCTTCCTGTTCAAAAAGCCCTGTTTTTCAATGTTTTGTTTTTGTTTTTGTTTTTTGTGGTTCTTGGGATTGAACCCTGGGCTACTAGGCAAGTGCTTTACCACTGAGATATACCTCCAGCCTTAATCTGTTTTATATATAATGATTCCACATAGAATCACATTTGAAAGCAATCATCCTACTACCTTATATTTTGAAAGATGCTGAACAAATGAAACTTCAAAACCAATGAAAATGAGAGCATTGTGATGAGGTAAAGGTGTTGCTTAAGACATCTTTCATAATAGGCTGCAGTTTTTTTCCTCTGAGTGATTAAAACACCATGTGGAACTGTGGGCTGCAAGTTTTAAAAAATTAAAAGAAGTTTTGAGATAGGAAAGAAAAATCCAATTAAAATCAAGGAGAAATTGTGACATGCCCTCTCTGAAGGAACTAGAATAACAAAATTCCTAACTTGTTTTATCTCTGTCTACAGTTTGTCTATAACTGCATAGAGTATACAGGACTATCAGTAGTGGTTTAAAATCTTGGTGGCAGGTGTTCAGAAATATTTTTTCCTCTTTTTATTGTCTCAATTCCAGTGTCTTTAGGTAGAACTTAAAACCATTTAACGTTTCTATGCAAAATAAAATTTATTTGGATCTTCTTACCAGTCTCATTCTGACAGAATATGTTGAGTCATTTTGAGTACCTAACTTCTTATACATTTAATCATTTGATTGAATTTAAAGTTTAGATCTGTTGCATTAAAACCATGCTCTACTGAAATGCTCAGAAGAGGAGGGTGGTATTTCTCTTTGAAAGTCGATGTTGGTATATTTTACAGAAAGAGCAGAATCATCAGAAATCAAGAAATACGGATTCCAACTCACTTCTTCATTGTGCTAACCAGTTGTAAGGATACATCCCAGACACCCCTGCAGTGTGAAAATTTAGATGCCTTAGCTTTCATTTTGCCCCACAGGCCTGATAACAGCGAGAGCTGTATGGTAAGTAGCCTTTGTTAATCTTCGTTATGTATTGAATGTAGAAACACGTGTACTTGCATGTGTGTCTTACATCGGATATTTCTATGGGAAAAAACACAACTCTTGAATGTATATGGACTTTGAAATTTTATAATGGTGTTAAATTTGATCCTCTAAGGTGATACTCTTTGGAGAAGATCACTTTATCAATTAATGACACTAAAAATCAGATCAGTATCAAAGTTCATGTAGTTTAACCACTAAGTTCTAGTTTTACCTCAAGTATGAATTACTCTAATTCCAAAACTTGATTTAAAATTCCAAAAATGTCTGAACATAAATCATTCTGAAAGTTGTACTTAGATAACATTTCAAATAAATTCCATATATAACTTTATTATGCAAACCTTCTCTTGTATTACATTCTCATTCTGTTATTTGGAAGCTATTGTGTTACCTTATTTGCTCAGAATTTTATAAATCTAAAATATAGATTTAAGCATTAAGACTTCATAAATTTTTTTTTGGTGGAACTGAAGTTTAAACTCAGTGATTCACACTTGCAAAGCAGGTGCTCTACCTCTTGAGCCACACCTCCAGTCCATTTTGCTCTGGTTATTTTGGAGATAGGATCTCATGAACAATTTTCCCAGGCAGGTCTTGAATTGTGATCCTCCTGATATCAGCCTCCCAAGTATTCAGAATTATAGTCATGAGCCCCCAGCGCCAGGCAGGGCTTCATAAAATTGGAGCAATGTTTAAGTGTTTTCCTTATAGTAAGCCAAAATGTTTTTCTTTCATAGGGTTGGTTTGCTGGTTGTTTTTTGTTTGTTTCTCTTATTTATTTATTTATTTTTGGTGCTGAGATTATACCTTGGACCTTGTGTATACTGAGCATATCCTGTACCACTGAGGTACAACCCCAGCCCCCTAGGTGTTTTCTTTTCGTTTTTTGTTCCTTTGAAGTTACACTAAGTAAGTCTAGACCTTAGTTTTCAAACAATTTGCATTCACACCATATTTTGTAGGTAAATACTTGGAGGTCTGTGGTCGGAAAGATCTTGAGATCCAATCTGAGCTCAGCAGGAGTGAGTGTTGCCTTCACTCATTCATTACTTCCTTTGTCCAGCCACCGATCCTTGATTACATATTTATTGCCAGGTACTCTAAGTACTGGGGACACAGCAGAAAACCAAACAGTGATCTGTGGGCTCAGGAATGTCTGTATCAGTCATTAAAATTAAAATCAAGATGTATCTCTCCTTAACCGTTTCTGTGATTACTTTTCAGAATGAATTGCCCATCCCTCACAGAACATTTATTAAGTTATCTTTTTCCTTATTCTTCAGAATTAAGTGCAGAATAGTAGAACTTTATTCGAAGTTTAGCAAGTTGGATGCCTAATGAGCATGTAACTGCCAATGGTTAGTATTGTGGACACTGTTAGATACATATCAAGTATTCCCTTCTTAATTACTGTCTTTTCCTTGAGAGATTAAATTGTCATTAAATGTATCAGAGTTGTGTATTATAGCAAATAACAGAAACAAATACTGGGACTTAAGCAAGTAACAGGAGCTTTAGCGGTACCTAGTCTTGGGATGGCTCTTAGGGACCCATGCCATTCCTTTCTGCCCCACCACTCCTACATGTCTTTGGCCTGCAAGTGTTGAAGGCAACTTTTCATTCTCTAAATTTCATGTCTCAATTCTGTGTCCCTCTGACAAAATAAGGCAGTCCAGGCTTAACATCTCATTGACCACAATGATGTTAAGTGCCATGAAGTAAGCGTTGAGTTCTTTTTCTACTCTCCCATCACAAAAGCTATTATATCACTATCTAGTTGAAAACATTTTTATCAAATTCTATGATGGCCATATACCTATATGATGAACTTGAATCAGAAAGAGGTGTCTTTAAGGTATCTTATACATATTTATTGATTCCTTCTGTTTCATCTGTTTTGTGGTAACTAAGGATTAGTTGGATATTCTCCTGAGGGAACAGATGTCCTACACATACTTTTTACCCATTCCTGTGAATGTTAGAATAAATGGCAATTATCTACTCATAGAGGAGTCCACTAGGGCAGGGCTTTTCCTCCCAGAGCTGGTATAAGGACTATGGCAGAGAGAGACTTGAATATTAGGTAGTGAGCACTTGGGGCTAATGGGAAAATGGAGATATTTGATCTGCTTTGTATGTGAAAAATCAAAATTTACATTTTTAACTAATCATGTCTGAAAGTGCCTGGACCTTTTTTGGTGGATGTCATTCAAGATAATCAGAGCCCATCAACCAGTGGATACCGTCTTTACCTGACCTTCTCCAGTAGCCATTTCAGAAAAGTTTACACTGACAGATGGTTGTATGATTTCCATCTCTGTTACCTGATTCAACAACCACCTCTGCTTCCATTTGCCAGAATATCTGCCTTTAATTACTTTCTCATATCATCTAAGACTTTACTCTGTAATCAGAAATAACGTGTTTTACAATGTCCGCAAGTCTTGTTTTTCATGTTATTTTGTAGATAATGCATTCCTGAAAGAACATGCATTTGTGTAATGTGGTTATACATATCAGTACATTTAATTCTCAAAATCACCATAGAAGGAGGATTCAGGAAAGGGAATCAAGATTTAGATGTTAAATAATTTTTCTCTGTTGACCTGATAGGAGGGTCATAGAACTGGAACTTGAATCCAGATTTTCACATTAATTTCCATGTTCTTTCTATCATATGATAAAGTTTTTGTTTTCTAGTATTTTTTTTTAAATGTCACACAAATGGTTTCTTGCACCTACATAATAGGTAACCATCTGTTCTAGTATACTTTTTTCCCAAATTTGGTATAATTAAATTGTCAAACATTGATAATTAAGCAAATATGCATGCATATATAAGAGTACGAGCTACTCAAAAGGGGGGTTATGCCTAATAGATCTTGTGATACTTGCATTTCAGAGCCAGTGTCATAACTGGTGCAACCAGGGCAGATGGAGCACTAATGGGAAAGCGAACTCAGTGTTTTCTGGTGATCTTTCTTTATTTTCCATCCCTACAGCATGGGAAGCATGAATCCTCATGGATTGAAGAGTTGCTCATGTTACACAGAGCACGGATCACAGATGTGGAGCACATCACTGGACTCAGTTTCTATCAAGAAAGAAAAGAACCAGTTTCAGACATTTTAAAGTTGAAAACACATTTGCCAACCTTTAACCAAGAAGACTGACTTTTTTATTCTCTGCCAAAACTGCACCATAAATCTTTTTAAGAGAACCTTATATTTTATACAGTCCTCTACTCACACTCTTGCATTATTTGAAAACTGTCGAGCAGAGTTAGAACTGGGAATCCTTTGTGATACAGACATCTCAGGGAAACTTGACTCAACACAGCTGCAGAAGAGTGTTCCTATCCTGTCTCACACAGACTCAACCTGTAACAATCATGTGGATTGTTCAGATTCTGGGAGTAAAGACAGATCATACCCAAAAGTGCTCTTCTTCTTCTCTTAAGAGAAATGTAGCAGTGAACATTGGATGCTAAATATTAGAATTGTATTATTGGTTATAAACCTTTGGCATTGGCAAATGCTACACTAATTAATAGGATTTGGATAGTCCAAGTTACATTAGTATCTAAACGTGGTTCTGGATTCTGGATTCCTTTTAACTCAAAGTTAATTTTTCTTTTTCTTCTTTTTTAGTTTTAATTGAAAAAAAAAAAAAAAAACCTAATGGAAACCAAAATATTTCCAAAATCCTTTTTCTGCTTTTTCTGTGTGCCTTCTCAAGAGCCATCATTAATATTATGCTTTAAAAAATTGTGATTGGATTTCATCAGATTTAATAGCACTAATAGTTAATTTTGATGAAAAGTCTGTGAGGTGAATCTACCTATTCTAAAATTTGACTTTACATTTGGTACAAAAAAAATTCCCATCTTGTTGCATAATAATTAACAGGTAAAAATAGTTTGAACTGTGGTTCTTTTAGATTGTTAAAACTGGGTCTTATCTGGGTGAAACTTCAGAGAACTTATTGGCATGTGCAAGGTAGCATTTTTCATAGAGATATTGAAATGTATTACTCTGTGCACAAGAGCTGTTCTCTGCCCAACTGTTAATTTAGAAGCTCCATAGATTTGAAGAGAACACGTCACCAATCACTTAATTGTCTGTAGATGTGACAAATGACACAATGAACTCAATTGCCCCACTGCATAGATTATATGCTTTTGTTTTAACCTGTGAACCTTCAAAGGCTACATGAACTTCTAACCTACCTGGGTACAATTTAGGTATATCAGTACACCAAATATTTTTATATGTCTTTCATATTGTGAGCATTTTTCAGCTAGTTAGGGACTAGCCACAAAGACCATTAGATAATGTGATTTGTAACTGAAATTTATTTAGTAACTTAGAAAGTTTCATTGTATATCGTGTGTTTGTAATTTCTACTATTCTGTCTTAAAGTTCACTGAATTTTTCCTCCGTCTAAGCCATTCTACTGTTGAGCCCATCAATTGATTATATTTCAATAATTGCATTTTTTATTTCTAAAATTTCCATTGTTTTATTTCTTTGCTGACAACTTTTATTTCTTCAAGAATTTCTATTTTTTCATTTGTTTCAAATGTGTTCATAGTTGTTCATTGCAGCATTTTTTATAATGGCCACTATAAAATCCTCATCAGATAATTCCAGCATCTTTGTCATCCCAGTGTTTGCATCTAGTGATAATGTTCATTTCCATTCAAAAGATTTTCCTGCTTCTTAGTATGCAAATGATTTTTAACTGAAACCGAGATAATTCTAGGCACTCTGTTATGAGAATATGGATTTTATGCAAACCTTCTTCAGCTGATTTTTTTTTTTTTCTGGCAGCGTCCTAGCAGGGAATTGGGGGCACTGTCTTCTTTCCAGGTGTGGCTGGGAGTTCAGGTTGTCCATTAACTCCTGTCCTAGGGTGGGAGGAGTTAGTGGGGTGGGGATCTGGGTCCTCATTAGGTTCTCTGTAGATGCCTCCCTTACTGCTCTCTTAAGGTCCCCACTGATGCTGTGGGACTACGTGGTGGGGAGGCTTCATTATCACCAGGTGGGGATGAAATTCCCCATTCCCTATTGTGCCTTCCCTAACACTGCCCTGACAGGGAAGCTGGACACCTCTTTTATAGCCTGGCCAGGATGGAAGGCTGGGCTCCTCACTAGGTCCTTGTTAATGTGGGAGGGGCCATGGTTGTTTTCTTGGTGCTCATTAGAGCAGAACAGTGTTTGTTCTGTGTCTCAGAAAAAAGAGCTACCTCTTTTCTGGTCTTTTGGATGGACAGAGAGCAGGCCTCTCTTAGGTTTTTTTTGTTTGTTTGGTTTTTATCTATATCTGCTAGTGTTTCCAGGTTGCTACTTTTTTTTAGCACAAAGTCTGAGATAGATGAACTAGAAAGAAAACTCAGGGAACTTAGCCCAGTGTGTTGTTGCTAAGTACTGAGGTCCCTAGTCTGTCTGCCTTCTTTCCACCATTCACTCTTCCTATCTTTTATTTGTAATATCTAGGCTTTCTCTACATGTGAATTTCTATTTCATCTTTGTAGAATTGTCTTGCTGATTTTTATATATTTTCAAAAAACATAGACACATGATCAACTTTACCTAAAGCATTGTATGAAAGTTTAATTTAAATGAATAGATGACTGTTCCCTGTGCTAGACACCAAGATTACAAAGAGAAACAGGTTATAATCCTCACAGTCTTGAGGAGGGAGAGGAGGCAGCAGAACTGTAAAGGGTTCCTAAGGACTGGGAACTGTTGGAGTGGGGTGCCAGGGAGCACAAAAGGGACACTGGTACATCTTGTCAATCTCAACAGTGACTCCCAGCCTTTGAGCTAAGCCTTGGACAATGAATCGGAGCTCTCCTGATGAGCAAGGTAAAGAAGGGGCATTTTCATATCCCCTGGATGGATACATCTTGGCATTCTCCCATTTATACCATTACTTCTGATATTTCTATGTGTGTCACAGTTACCAACATATAATGTACAATGACTTCATTTTTCTTTATTATAATTCTCTGTTCTAAAAGGACATATCAGACTGATGCATGTTGACTCTTTAAAGGAAAGAACATTAGATCTACTCCTACTTTTCTTTTTTTCTATTGCTTTTGTATCAGATTCTTTTTCTTTCCTATTTGTGAGACCTCTCCTTTTATTATTTCATCCACTTAAAACATTGTTGACCTCCATTCTCCCATTTGAATGGTAAATTCAGAGGTCTATACAGTCATCCCTCTGTATTCATGGGGAGTTTGTTCCCGGGCCCTCCTCACATTTTGGTATCAATTTTTGGTACCAAAATCTGCAGCTACTCAAATTCCTTATACAAAGTGGAGTAGTATTTGCATATAGCCTATGAACATTCTCCCCTGTACTTTAAATCATCTCTGGAGTGCTTACAATACCTAATGCAACGTAAACACGATGTAAATAGTTGTTTTGCTGTGATGTTTAGGGACTAGTGACAAGAAAAACATCCGTATGTATTGAGTATAGACACAACTTTTTTCTGGAACATTTTTGATCTGCATTTGGTTGAATCCATGGATACCAAACCCATACATATAGTGGGTTGACTGTGTATGAAAATGTCTTTCTTCTATTTTTTTCCAATAAAGGTTATGCCTTACTTTTCAAATACAAAATGAAACCATTGTTTTTATCCCAAATCTTACTGCCATGCCTCAGATCAGTCTTTTTTTTTCTTCTATTTTTATTAATTGTATAAAGGGTTTTCATTGTGATATTTCCATATAAGCATACAATGTACCTGGATCAAATTCACCCCCTCTGTTGACTCCTCCACTCCCCTTCTTAAAACAATTTCAACAGGTTTCATTGTTCTGTTTTCATTCATGTGTATAAAGTACTTCGATCATGCTCCCCTAATACATCCACACTCTCCTTTCACCCTCCCCCTTCCTGCTGGTACTCACGCCCCAGACACAATCTGTTTTACATCCCTAGCATTCATTTTTAAGGACTAGATTTCACATATAAGAGAATCTGGCTTGTTTTAGTTGAGATCATGATCTCTAGTTCCATCTATTTTTATGCAAATGACATAATTTCATTCTTCTTTATGGCTAAATAATGTTTACAGTAGCACTATTCACAATAGCCAGTGTGGAATCAGCCAATGAATGGATAAGGAAAATGTGGTACACACAGCACACACACACACACACACACACACACACACACCCCCACAATGAAGTATTGTTCAGGTCACTGCTTTTTTTAATTATTGTTTTATTCTTCATATGTGCATACAAGGCTTGGGTCATTTCTCCCCCCTGCCCCCACCCCCTCCCTTACCACCCACTCTGCCCCCTCCCTCTCCCCCCACCCCCTCAATACCCAGCAGAAACTATTTTGCCCTTATTTCTAATTTTGTTGTAGAGAGAGTATAAGCAATAACAGGAAGGAACAAGGGTTTTTGCTGGTTGAGATAACTCACATTAATTTCCTGTGCATGTGTCTTACCTTCTAGGTTAATTCTTTTTGATCTCACCTTTTCTCTAGTTCCTGGTCCCCTTTTCCTATTGGCCTCAGTTGCTTTTAAGGTATCTGCTTTAGTTTCTCTGTGTTAAGGGCAACAAATGCTAGCTAATTTTTTAGGTGTCTTACCTATCCTCACCCCTCCCTTGTGTGTTCTCGCTTTTATCATGTGCTCAAAGTCCAATCCCCTTGTTGTGTTTACCCTTGATCTAATGTCCGCATATGAGGGAGAACATACGATTTTTGGTCTTTTGGGCCAGGCTAACCTTACTCACAATGATGTTCTCCAATTCCATCCATTTTCCAGTGAATGATAACATTTCGTTCTTCATCATGGCTGCATAAAATTCCATTGTGTATAGATACCACATTTTCTTAATCCATTCGTCAGTGCTGGGGCATCTTGGCTGTTTCCATAACTTGGCTATTGTGAATAGTGCCGCAATAAACATGGGTGTGCAGGTGCCTCTGGAGTAACCTGTGTCACAGTCTTTTGGGTATATCCCCAAGAGTGGGATTGCTGGATCAAATGGTAGATCAATGTTTAGCTTTTTAAGTAGCCTCCAAATTTTTTTCCAGAGTGGTTGTACTAGTTTACATTCTCACCAACAGTGTAAGAGGGTTCCTTTTTCCACGCATCCTCGCCAACACCTGTTGTTGGTGGTGTTGCTAATGATGGCTATTCTAACGGGTGAGGTGGAATCTTAGCGTGGTTTTAATTTGCATTTCCTTTATTGTTAGAGATGGTGAGCATTTTTTCATGTGTTTTTTGGCCATTTGAATTTCTTCTTTTGAGAAAGTTCTGTTTAGTTCACTTGCCCATATCTTTATTGGTTCATTAGTTTTGGGAGAATTTAGTTTTTTAAGTTCCCTGTATATTCTGGTTATCAGTCCTTTGTCTGATGTATAGCTGGCAAATTTTCTCCCACTCTGTGGGTGTTCTCTTCAGTTTAGAGACCATTTCTTCTGATGAACAGAAGCT